TTTTATTCAGTAATGTTAAAATAATCTTTTATTTCTGGATAAATTCTGGACAGAGTGGTATTTGGCTTGTATTATATGAGACATACTTAACACTGGTCAGAGGTGTTAAGTGTAAATGTGAATAGCAATAATACATTTATTTTGGAGCCTGTAATTTTTGAAATGTTTGTTCTAAATATATGTCTGTGTCTTTTTTTTTGCTTTAGGAGTACAAGATCCCCAGCATGAGAGAATTATCACTGTGTCTACTAATGGAAGTATTCATAGCCCAAGGTTTCCTCATACTTATCCAAGAAATATGGTCTTGGTATGGAGATTAGTAGCAGTAGAGGAAAATATGTGGATACAACTTACATTTGATGAAAGATTTGGGCTTGAAGACCCAGAAGATGACATATGCAAGTAAGTTCCCATACATGAAATTCCAACAGAGTATAACAGCTGTTAAAATCTTGCTTCATTTTGATGATCTGATTTTAAATGGCATCCGTTTTGTTTTATTTTTCTGATGATCTAAGAAATTTACAACCTTATTTAAGCTATGTTTCACTTAAAGTCTTCATTAAAAATCAGAAGATACATGTATGTACATACGTAGTCATGACTTTCTACCTTCTTCTAAAATGATTTGACGTAATTTATAGTAAAAAGCATATATAGAGTAAAACCATTTACAATAAGGAATAAAGAATAAAAAGCTACATAAAAGAATGTAGTTATGCCAGAAAGCCTAATTTGCCTTTAGTGCTAAAAATCTTATATTTGAGCTTCCTGATAGCCAAATCAATAATATAAACAATCAGCTATTAAAAGAAAAAGCTGTATCCATGGGTACATATTACCTAGATATACATATGGATACAAACACACACGCAGGACTAAGAAGTTTGAAAGTTCTTCATCACAAAGAAAAATATAGTTCTGAAAGCAGAATTAGAAATTTAGGCTAACATTATGCCTTGCCAGGTAGGAATTCATCATAATTCTCCTAGAAGTATTCATGAACCAAAGTCAGCTGGAGTATTTCACCCACACGAAAGACCACCTACTGTATGTCAGACAAATACTACTCTTTAAATCCCATATGAATACACTTGTCAAGGTTGGGTGGTCTTACTGAAGATTTTTCACTTCAGTGGCATTTGTATAACATGAAAATATTTTACTTGAACTTCTTTCCTGGGTTTTTTATTTTCTCTTTGATATACAAGTTAAAAGAGAATTTTCATTTCATGGTATATTACAGATAAATATTTCAATGCAGATGAAATAAACTTTGTACTTGCTGTCATCACAATTTGTATCTTTAGCATTTACATAGTTACATTTTCTTCACATTTGTTCTTTCTGTGACTATGCATTTCATGTTGTTTTTTTCCTTATATCTATAATTTTAGACTTTGAGAACCAGAAGCTATCCTATCTTTAGAAGGCCGTGTAGTTTAACCCTTCGTTTTACAGATAAAGAAACAGAGACCAGAGTATGGTAGTTGCCCTAGATCTCATTCATGTTTTGTACTTAAACAAATGTTGTAAAACCCACTTTTCCTAACACCCGTTTAAGATATTTTCACCAAGCTCTACTGTACCTATTGACTTTTCTTTATATGTAAGATTTCTTAATCTTATCAAAAATTACAGAGTCTAAGACTTTACTTTGAAAGCACTAGTTAGCCTACGACAGTTTCATGGCTGCTAATAGAAGATAAAAGACTCCTGGGTCAGAGACAAAGGACTTTCTTACAATAGTAGCAGTAGCTAGAATATTAACACTTTCTTATGCCTTTTCCCCAAGTTCCATTTTCCACAGATAACACCAAGAGGGCTATGTGATACTGGAATACTCAGTGGGTTGTGTTATGGAAGAGGAAGGGTTATATGTTTGCATATATATGTACACATTTATGTGTGTATATAATATATTAGTTAAATAATCCTAGATGCTTCATCCAGCATGTGACACAACTTCACCCAGCATGCAACTCTAACTTAGGAAAAGTGACACTTTTATTAGTTATGAAGTCCCCTACCAATATTGCTCCCTAATTAAACCTTTTACTTGTGCTGCAAATATAATCATTGTCCTAAATCCTGATTTTCTTTATAATTTTACAACATGTACGTACTTCCCTATGAACTGTCTTATAAAAAGTTTATTTTTGCCTGTTTTGAAATATGTATCAATAGAATAATAGTGTGTTTTTTGTGACTTGATATACATTTCAAAACAAGCAAAACTAAAAATTGTTATGTTTTTAAGATTAGTTCATGTTGAGGCAGATAGCTTATTAGATCATTTGTTTTTCTTGATGTATAGTATTTCATTTTATAAATAATCAACTTTTTTTGTCTCTTCTACTTTTATGAGCACTTGGCTCATTTCCAAATGTTTGATGAACATTTGGCTTGTTTCCACTTCTTGTGCAAAAGTGCAAGAAAACTTTGAGTCTATTTCTAAGTATTTATATTTTCAACTTTACTGGGCAGAGTTAAATTGTTTTTAAAAATGATTAGTTTATCTTTCTCCCAACAATATACAAAAATTTCTGTTGCAGAGAATTCTCACTAACTTTTGATTTGTCCTTTTTTAAAAAAAATATTTGGTAACATGGTAGGTGTGAAATTATACCTTATTATTAGTTCTAATTGTTTTTCTCATTACTAATGAGCTTGAATTTCATATTTATTATTGGCCATTGGTATTTCCTTTTCTATGAAATGACTGCTTGTATCTTTTGCCTAATTTCTTTTTTTTTTTCGAGATTGTCTTGCTCTGTCACCCTGGCTAGAGTGCAGTGGCGTCATCATTTTTGCCTAGTTTTTATTAGTCTATTTGGCTATTTAAATTTTGCCTTTCATTTTCCTTAATTCTTCTGGAATTTATTTTTGTCTGTGGTGTGAGATTGTTTGGTGGGTTATATGCGATAGTGTCCCAACAGCATTTATTGAATAGTCACTCTTTTCCAATGAAGTACAATGCCAGCTAACTTGCAGATCAGGTTTCTTTATATGGTCTGCTGTGTTTGTGGATCTTGTTCTGTTACTTTGGTCAATTTTGTCTGTCTTAATTGAAGAACACTGTCTTAGTTACTGTAACATTATAGAAGCTTTGTGATAAGAAGTCTCACCTTATTTTCTTCTCCTTTGAGAGCATCCTGCCTATTTTGCTTTTTAATATATTTAGAAAAAGGTTGTAGAGTTCCCTGAAAACTTTACCTTTCTCTATTTATTAGGGTTTTCTTTAATGTCTACACAGTTGTAAAATTTCTTCATCAATATGTTGTATATCCATTGTTTGGATTTATTTCTGTATGTCATACAGACTGCTGTTAAAATCTCTTTTGGACACTACATTTTCTAATTTTATATTGCTGATATGTAGAAATACAATCAATTTTTTGGTATGGATCTTATATCTAGAAAACTTATTAAGCTCTTTTATTTTAATAGTTCTGGAAATTATTTTGGATTTGTGCAAAAAATCATATGGTTTGTGAAAAAAATGTTTCTTTCAATTCTTTTACCGTTTCTTTTGTATCACTTATTATGTTACTGATTGTATTAGTACATATCTTTGTCTTCTTCCTTATTTTAGAGAGTTTGCTTTTTTGTAAATAAACTGTAAGATTTAGAATAACTTTAGATTTGCAGAATGTTACAAAGGTAGTATAGAGAATTTCTGTATACTCCTAACCAAGGTTCCTCCAATGTTAACATTGTATGTAACCATGGCACATTTGCATAACTAGGACATTAATATTCATACAATATTATTAACTTACCTACGGATGCTATTTGGATGTGAGCAATTTTTTCATGCTATGACTTTTTTCTGTTTCAGGATCCTTTCCAGGATAAACTGATTGCATGTGGTTGTAATATACTTTAAAAGCATGTGAATCTTGATTGGTGACAGCCTGTCACCCAGTTGTTTTAGTATCCATTTATGAGTCCTGCTTTTAAAGTCAGTTATGCATTTTATATTTTCTAGGCGTTTTTTCATTTCATTTCAGTTTTCAGATTTATCGGCATTAGGGTTTTCACAGTATGTCCTAATTTTAATTTCTGCTATGTTTCTAATTATGTCCCTTGTTTTATCCTTAATATTGTTTTGTGCTCCCTCTTCTTGGTTTTGTTTTGTTTTTCTTTTCTTGCTTAGTCTTGTCCATGATTTGGTTTATTCTTCGTTGTTTCAAAGAAACAAATTTTGGCTCTGTTTATGACTGTTAAAGAATAATATTTTTAAAAGGTAAAATCATGACTTACGTACAGATATTAAATGAACACGTCTTAAAGATTCTATGTAACTTAATAAGGGAGCCAGTCTGATTTTATAATCAGTTTAATAACAATCCAAATAACAGACACATTTATAGATCAGGAATATTGAAATAAATGTGCAAGTGAAGGCAAAACTGGCTGCTTCTGCGGTGGGGGAGGGAAGTCAATTGAACCTCTCCTGGATGTAGTTTATTTATATGTCTATAGACAAGAATTATTTTTTATTTGGCTCAGTCATCTGTACCTTACTCAGTTGTAAAATAGATCAAAGGCAATGAAAGGTGCAGATCCCCTGTAAATTGGAATTAAATAACCCAGAAAGTAATTATT